ATGATCAATGACCGTTCTTAAGACGTGTTGAAATTATTATTTTAGTTATTATTATGTTCAATAAAATAAAATAAATATTTATGAGCCTCATTGGCGCGTATATTCATCCGTCATTCAACTTAATTCTGACGTTTAATTGTATGCAAATGAGAGCTGAAAGTTTCAAAGTTGACAGCAGCAGCAGGTCTTTGTATATTTATTTTCCTGTACAAGTCCTGAAATGTTAAATTTTCGTGTTATTTATTTTTCATAATTATTATGCGAAATATATCTTTAAAATGCTCTTAAAATACAAAATTCTAAGATTATTTTTAAAGAAAATATATAAAGGAATAATTAATTATAATACATTACTTTCTTGACTGTTATATGTAACAGAAGGAAAGCACGGAAATGACCTCCCAGAATTTTACATTTTTGGACTCGGGGGAATTTGAAACATCGAGAAATGGAAAAAAATTGGGTTTTTTTTTCTACATGTATGGGTGTTTGCGCTTGGTGTGGGTAGTGTGGTTTTCATCCACTTTGAAGCTTAATAACTCCTGTGCCTTTTGTCGAAAATTTATGAAATTTTGCAAGAAGGTTTGTGTATTAGATAAAAATGTTTCCAGAAAATTTCAGGAAAATCGAACCATTGGTTCAAGAGATTTTTTTTTTTTTGACAGAAATTATGAATATTTATATGGAGGACATGATGATCTGTAAATCATCATACCATTAATGCAAGCGAATATACATCATCATTTAAAAATGTTTTTTCCCTAGTTCAAACTTAGGTTTCATTCAGGAAATATATATTTTTAAATAAAGTTCACATATTCATATAAAGGAAGTATTAGATGAATATCAAACAATGGTTGTAGGATGTTTCATTTTAGCATTTTTATATCCTTACATTAGTTAGTTCTAAAAATACAATAAAAAATAAAATAAAATAAAATCAGATAAAAAGATATTGGCGACTGATCATGCATTTTCTTAATTAAAGGTCGTGTTATATATATATATACATATACTTAAAAAAATTGTCACTGTGTGAGAGTTGCGGGTCATAGGTTTTCACACGAGTTTTGATCCGCAACCTTTATACTTTTTAATTAAAATAATATATATATAAAAAATCTTTGTCCTTTAGTTATACCCGGAAGATATGAGTTAAAAACTTTACAATTTTTTACTTTAAAAATAAATAAATAAAATAATAATGTAAGTTGACAGAAAGAAACTATCAATTTATCTTCTATAAATTATGAAAAGACATAGTTTTCTTGCAAATTTAAAAGAAAAAGTGTATGAGACATAATCCAATGGCATAAAACAGTGGAAACTAAAATTAAATCAAGAATTTCTATCTTGAAAGTAACAAAAGTGGGTATATTATTTTGATNCACATTATAATCTTGAAAAAATCATTTTGTATCATTAAATTTACATTTTAAAACTAAATTTAGAATTGAATCTGTGAGAACCGTGAATGATTGTGAAAGATTCAATGAGGTCTTCATGTTATTCGATTGCATTCAAAGAAGTATGGACCACGAACAAAGTCTAAATGTGTACAATTGCACTCGAATAGCTATTTAAACAATAATTTCGACAAATATATATGGGCTAACTTACTTATTTACTGGGTCACTATCAATAAGCATTGTATTATACAATGGGAAACGTTTTCTTGTATAAATCGAGGTAAATTTGTGTGGGTCAAGTCTTAAGTCTATGAATAAACCTTTAGGGAATTTTGTTTTTTTATATTGAAGGGTCGATAGTAAAGTTCAGATTCTTAACAAGAGGTAAATCTGTAGCAGATTTTTATCCGATTAAAACTGTGATGATGAGTTTGATGTTACGGATGATAAGCACGAAATACATTCGATTCCAAAAACAAGTTAGTTCTAGATGGCTGCACAATATTTTTCTTTTATCTTCTTTTATTCTTTTTTAATTTTTGCTTGAACTAGTTTTGCCCGAATTTGTTTCACATGTCATTCGAGTTTCATAAAATTATGATAATGTTTTAATTAAAAATTTTTTTTTAAATTTTTTGTGTATGAACGTAATCGAATAGCATCGTATCTATGTAAATATATATGCAATTAATTACTCTTGTATCTTTTTTCCTCATTTTTTAACTTATTTGACCCTATGGACACTATGAGGGTCTTTTATTACGGGTGGGTTAAGGCAATAGGACAGACAAAATCCAAAAATTTCTGGAGATTTTGACTACAACGATTCGATCCCAGGTATCACAAAGCGATAGGAAGAAATACTTTAATCGTCTCGGCTATCCGGTTGCCATTACTTTTTATAATAATCCTTCATAAAGATGAAGAATTAGTAGTCAATTGTTATAGTTGATAAAGAAGTTTAAAGAATAATGAACTGGTTTAGAAAGTATTCTAATTTACTCTTTCATTGTATGTTATATGTCGTGAATGTAACGGATTTCATATGACTTGCAGCTTTTACATGTGAGTGATTTATTATACAAATTTCTAGTAAATCTACACATAAGCAAAACTTCGAAATAGTTATACAATGGATTTTTTAAGTAAATAAAAATACAAATTAATACATTTAGTTAATTTCAATGTGAAGCTTTAGCTGGAGAAAGAGAGAATCTACAACCATTTTCTGAAGATAATTCGCATAGAAAGACTCTGGAGAAGATACGAAAGAAATGTCTAACCTGGTGGCTTTGGCACAATGAAAATCTGTAATAAAATATTCTGGAAGGTAAGATATTTAATAAGGTCCGAATGCTAGGCATATTCGAAAACAGTTAGATTAAGCAATCTTGTATTAGTTAAATTATGGCAAGTGAATATGAAGAACTGAAAAGAATGTCCGAAGAAAGGAATAGATGAATGGTTCTGACATTAACTTCTGCTTGAGCAGTTCTTGAGGTGAATCTTGAACAATTTTAATTAGTTTTATATGAAATAAAGAGTGTTATGACTTTAATATAAAATTATTTATTAACTTATTATACTCCAGTTTGCATTAAATCTATATTAAAAGTTAAAGAGAGGAAATTAGTTCGTTATGAATTTTATAAATTTATTCAGATATTTATGCTTTCCCTTATCATCTCATCCCTTCAGTAACGAATAATAAAATATATAAGGGGCCTTCCTCTATTTTAAATAATGATATGTGCAAAAAATTTGAGGCCCTAAGCTACAGCTTGTACCATAAGACGGCTTTTGAAATGTTCCTCCTTATGGAAAGTATCTTTACAAAATTACCATAAACTATTTTATTTAAGGAATATTTTAAAATTTTTAACAGTTTAATCAGATAATATTAATGAGCATCTCAGAAAAATCATCAGTCGTGTCATAGCTTTGTTTAACACCTCTCGTATTATTAAATTAGTGTGCTTCTGATACGTATTAAATTTAAAATACACAAGAGATTTACCGTAATTATCTCTAAATTTACGTAATAAGTATGTAAAATTAATGTTTAAAATTGGATTATAATTTCATTAATGTAAGAGAATATATGTTATTAAACTCGATGTCAATAAGGGAAGTATATAGTAATGTTAATTTTATAACCATTATAAATGTATTTTAAAAAATACTAATATATGTTATACATTTAAATATACTTCTACGGACAAAATTACTTATATTTTGTTTATTTTTCCGTTCGTCTCTTTGTCTGTGCAGTTTTATACAGAGAAATCTAAAATTATTTGGAAGGATTTGCTTGTTGCAAAATATGAACAATTTGATTTTTGTAAAGAATTTTCATTTAAAATTACATTTATTTCATTGTTATCAAGCTTCTATTGTTTATAACATAGAGAAATCAGAAATCATCATTAACCCACTTCAAATTATGGTCTTCGAAAAGCGTTAATGATAATGTAAGTGTATTATAGTCTTTTTTTTAGAGGGCATCACCCTTTATATCACATTATAATCTTGAAAAAATCATTTTGTATCATTAAATTTACATTTTAAAACTAAATTTAGAATTTAATCTGTGAGAACCGTGAATGATTGTGAAAGATTCAATGAGGTCTTCATGTTATTCGATTGCATTCAAAGAAGTATGGACCACGAACAAAGTCTAAATGTGTACAATTGCACTCGAATAGCTATTTAAACAATAATTTCGACAAATATATATGGGCTAACTTACTTATTTACTGGGTCACTATCAATAAGCATTGTATTATACAATGGGAAACGTTTTCTTGTATAAATCGAGGTAAATTTGTGTGGGTCAAGTCTTAAGTCTATGAATAAACCTTTAGGGAATTTTGTTTTTTTATATTGAAGGGTCGATAGTAAAGTTCAGATTCTTAACAAGAGGTAAATCTGTAGCAGATTTTTATCCGATTAAAACTGTGATGATGAGTTTGATGTTACGGATGATAAGCACGAAATACATTCGATTCCAAAAACAAGTTAGTTCTAGATGGCTGCACAATATTTTTCTTTTATCTTCTTTTATTCTTTTTTAATTTTTGCTTGAACTAGTTTTGCCCGAATTTGTTTCACATGTCATTCGAGTTTCATAAAATTATGATAATGTTTTAATTAAAAATTTTTTTTTAAATTTTTTGTGTATGAACGTAATCGAATAGCATCGTATCTATGTAAATATATATGCAATTAATTACTCTTGTATCTTTTTTCCTCATTTTTTAACTTATTTGACCCTATGGACACTATGAGGGTCTTTTATTACGGGTGGGTTAAGGCAATAGGACAGACAAAATCCAAAAATTTCTGGAGATTTTGACTACAACGATTCGATCCCAGGTATCACAAAGCGATAGGAAGAAATACTTTAATCGTCTCGGCTATCCGGTTGCCATTACTTTTTATAATAATCCTTCATAAAGATGAAGAATTAGTAGTCAATTGTTATAGTTGATAAAGAAGTTTAAAGAATAATGAACTGGTTTAGAAAGTATTCTAATTTACTCTTTCATTGTATGTTATATGTCGTGAATGTAACGGATTTCATATGACTTGCAGCTTTTACATGTGAGTGATTTATTATACAAATTTCTAGTAAATCTACACATAAGCAAAACTTCGAAATAGTTATACAATGGATTTTTTAAGTAAATAAAAATACAAATTAATACATTTAGTTAATTTCAATGTGAAGCTTTAGCTGGAGAAAGAGAGAATCTACAACCATTTTCTGAAGATAATTCGCATAGAAAGACTCTGGAGAAGATACGAAAGAAATGTCTAACCTGGTGGCTTTGGCACAATGAAAATCTGTAATAAAATATTCTGGAAGGTAAGATATTTAATAAGGTCCGAATGCTAGGCATATTCGAAAACAGTTAGATTAAGCAATCTTGTATTAGTTAAATTATGGCAAGTGAATATGAAGAACTGAAAAGAATGTCCGAAGAAAGGAATAGATGAATGGTTCTGACATTAACTTCTGCTTGAGCAGTTCTTGAGGTGAATCTTGAACAATTTTAATTAGTTTTATATGAAATAAAGAGTGTTATGACTTTAATATAAAATTATTTATTAACTTATTATACTCCAGTTTGCATTAAATCTATATTAAAAGTTAAAGAGAGGAAATTAGTTCGTTATGAATTTTATAAATTTATTCAGATATTTATGCTTGAAGAAAGAAATGATAATTTAACTGTATTCTTTAATAATATCTTCTATCCAATTTCTGTAGAAACTAACTCTTACAAATGATGTAGGAACATTAGTCACAGCACATAAGGCACCTATATAATTTGTATCCGTGATATAACTAGCCACTCCTACAAGAATCCATTTTTCATTTATTTTACATACCAAAGGACCACCGCTATCGCCCTAGAGATAAAAATATTAATAATAAAGTTATCATTAAAAGTTAATTTAAAATTAATATTAAAGATTAAATTTCTTACATGGCAAGGACCATGAAATCCTTTGGCCATTCCAGCACAAATCATCGTAGTATGATTAAATTCAACTAATGGAGACTCGCAATCTTCATGCCCATGTATAAGTAATTTTGTTTGCTTCAAAGCATCATTACTTCCGGTTCCTAAAATTATAAAATTCATGTTTTTCATGAAGAATGTCGTTCTCAATCGGCTAGTTTTTGCTATTTTCTCACATTATACAATGGATTTACATTTGCAAAGGGCATCATCGCCATGTTTTTACTCATATTTTATTTGTAAAGCAAAATTAATATGGTACACAAAAGGGATTTCCTTCATAGGAAGTTCGAGCCGGCTCGAACTATTTAGCGCCAAACTGTATTATACGTAGTCACTTGATTTATGAATTAACACGTCAATAATTTAAATAAAACAATGCTTTCGACATATTTATTTGTTATTTAATTAATGTTAATAATTTGAAATTACCTTTAGTTAGTCCCCATCCTGTAGCATAACATTCAGTTCCTATTGGAATAACAATATCATTATCGGGTAAACATACAGGCTGAACTTTATCTGTAAACTTTATTGGAGCATTCAATTTCACTAATGTAAGATCTTCATATATATTTAATGTCCAATTTTTGAGCTGTAAATTGACTGATTTAATAATTATGTAAGATTTTGTAAACAATAATAAAATTTTTAATCAATTACTTCTTCTTCTGGTATGTCCGGATAAATGATAACATGTTCAGGATACCGTATCTGTTCCGAATTATCTTTTGAAAATTTATGATGATTTCCAAGATGAATTCTCCAAGCAAGTGGATTTGGTTGTCTAGAATATAGAAAATTTTATTTTAATACAAGATATTCCGTAAAAATGAAAAAAGACATACTGTATATAATAGTACTTATATGGATATAGTTCGAGACCAGGAAAAGAACTGATGGATTATATTATTAAAAGATTATTCTGGAAAAATAATAATAATAAGAGGAAAATGTTTAATACGGAATTAATTAACTAACGTGGGAATATTATTATAGAAAATTTTATTTTAAAACAAGATATTCCGTAAAAATGAAAAAAGACATACTGTATATAATAGTACTTATATGGATATAGTTCGAGACCAGGAAAAGTTTCGTATGGAAACTTATCAAATGTGTTAAATCCTAGGCTAGCATCACTAAATGTCAATTGCTATCTTTCTGGAAAATTAAATGAAATAAACTTANTGATGATTTCCAAGATGAATTCTCCAAGCAAGTGGATTTGGTTGTCTAGAATATAGAAAATTTTATTTTAATTATAAAATAAATAAATATATGTACAGTACTATACTCACTGCTCGAAACAATGAGAAGCTGTCACTATCCATTGGCTATTTATAAGACTTCCTCCACAGATATGGCCACTAGGATGTATCAAATCGAACTGAATGTCTGCCTGCCAGGGCCAACTTCCAGGAGTAACTTCAAATCCACCTACTATACGGCCGTAATCGTGTTCTGATGGTTTTATTGTTGGTTCTCCACATTTTTCGGCTTCAACAATCGAATGTTCTGACGAAGAAAATTGTTATTTGGCGACGTGTGTAAATATGGATACTAAATTTATTTATATTTCTTGAATTTTACCACACTCTTCTTCATCGGTAGCGTCTCCACAATCATCTACACCATCGCATTCTTTTGAATTGCTAACACATCTTCTGTTCTTACATTCCAGATCATTTGGGCAAAGGGCTGAAAAATACAATAAGTTTTCATATTGTTTATTACAAAATATGCTGATCCAGTGGTGATTATTTATGAAGTTTTTGGGATGAAGACACTCATCTTTTTATAAAAATTATATTGTGTATAAAATCAAAATTAACAGTAGACAGTTGCGGCAGAGTAAAGCAGGCTTCTGCTCTAGGATTTGGGTTTGAGTTCGGGTAGGCTCACGTCTTAATGCCTAGAAACGGAAATGTCTGTGTTCGCAAGACGGAAAGTAAAGACAATGAAACAGAGTTGTTGTATACACAGCATTCATTATACCATGAGCTATATCAGAAAGAATTTTTAGTCCTGATAGCCAGAATAATAAAGGATGGGATTTACATTCCTATATAAACTGCGCAAGATAAATGATATCATGGTTCCTAGTCTCAAATAACGTAAGCGGCGGCACAAACGTTTTGAGAATGTTCGGATCTAAAGTGTAGAGTGAGAATCTCTTGTCTTATTGTTAGCCTAAAGTAACGATAAACGGTCTACTTTATTATCGGGCTATAATAAGGCTAATTTAATAATTAGTTATAAAATAATTTGACAAGAAAAGGCATTTAGGAAGCCATCTGGTAATAATTTTAATAATTATAATAAATTACTTTTTAATTTAGAATTTCTGGACAAAGTGAATAGGAATGGAATAGGAACTCGAATCCACAATTTCTGCTTATCGTGCATGCCAATTTATTATAATTACTAATTAATTAGTTAATTAATTAAAAATCGGGTTTGTATATTCACTGTTTATACACATTTTAAAGTAAATTACGGTAAAAATCATAATAAGAATCCTCATAAATGACGTCAATCTACATGCTGATAGCTTTACAGAACAATACGTAATACTTACATTCATCTTCAGTTGGTTCGTAAGTAAAGTGAAATCCACGTTTATTTATCATAAAATCACTATAAAACACAATAAATAACTCATTTTCTATAGATAAAATATCTTCAGGAGTAGAATCTCCACAAAAAATTCCATGGGCTCCATGTTCCATATCGTGACCTTCGAAAACTCTTAAAGAATCTCCTCCACAGGATTCGGTACTTTCGACATCAAAATCGATAAACTTTAAACGAATACTCTATTATAAAAAAAATATGCAAAAGAAAATATTGTAAATTTATAGTAATTCTTTATATTTAAGGGTGACCTAAAAGTCAGTTAACCGAGGCGTAAGAAAACGTATTTACTGGGTTAACTGAATTTCGGGTCAGTTCATATTTAAATACTGTATTTACTTTTCCGGGTTCGGTATGAAGAAAATAAATGCATCTCGTATTCAAAGGATACTTTTCATTTTTTTCGTATCCCGGGCTGAAAATGTCACCCTTTTTCGAAACGGTAATGTCCAACGGTTTATTTGGATCACATGCTAACAATATAGTTGAAATTAAAGAATTAGAATAAAATATATTTTATATTTTTTTATATATATATGAATAAAAATTTAATTACCTTTAGAAAAATTAAATATCATCTGAAATAAAATAAATAAGACAATTGTTGAGAGCATCTTTTCCAGTTAAGTTTCTGTTTGACCCTGAATAAAAAATGTCTAATGTTTATGAATTATCGAGATAATGAATGTTACTGAAGTTATCTTATTAATATTTTTATAGTTCTCTAATCAAAATTTCTATAGGAAAATTTGATAATATAATCATTTTTGCAGCTGTTGATTTTCGTAAAGTAAATGTATAAAAATTGCAATGGAAAATTTCCATGTCGAAATTCCAGTTTTAAAATATTAAATTATTTTTCATTGATTGAATCTTTATAATAATAATAATAATAATAATAATAATAATAATTAGAGTGCGGGTTTATAAGCATAAAAAATTTAGAAGAAACGCTTAAAAAAAGTATAAAAATCACGCATAATAAGTATATAAAATTGACCAAAAACTCTGATTAATCATATAAAAAAAAGTATACAGGTATACCTCGACTTACGTCGTTTCGAGTTACGTCGTTTGTCAAAAAAGTATAAGTAAAAATCAAGTTTAAGTCATTTTATTCGACTTTACGTCTGTCCGCCACAAATATTGAAGTCGTAATATCACTAGAAAAGCATTTAAAGCACATAAAATCATATTAAAATATATACATTTACAAGTATGTACTGTATTTACAGTACAGGTAGCTTTCGGTTTACGACGCAGTTCCGTTCCTACAAAAGCCGGCGTAAAACGAACTCATATTTACACTGAGGTATAGGGTTAGGTTCCACATAAGTGAAAAATAAGCAAATTATTTTGTTTATTAATACAATATAATACAAAGTACAGATAAATTTAATTTTTAAAATGTATTTCATCATAAAATACAATGGCGGTATGGATTCGGACGCCATTTATTAGACTATTAAGTTTGATAACTTGACTCGTGGGTACCTAAACGTTTAGTATTTTAATATTAATTTAATGCAAATGTATACATACCCAATAATATTAAACAGAAAAAATAAATATATTCAATAAAAATCTTTGTTTTAACGAATGTACAATGTCGTGGCTCGGTAAATACATCAATACTGAAACGAAAATCAGTCTGGCAAAGGGAAAATCGGGGAATTACACAGAAAAATCACGAATTGTGCAACGGCGTTATTGTGAATCGGTGTAAATTGAACCGGCGTAAACCGAGAGCTACCTGTACGTAAATTCGTAAATTCAGATTACTTTTGTCTGTACTATATTAAAAACTAAAATTTATTTGTTTGTAAGCTTAAAATAGATCCTTAATAACCATATATTATTAAAAATGCATTAATAAATAAAATACAGAACCGGAAATGGTAATTTATGGTTTAGCCTAGTGACAAGTAGATTCGGAGACAAGTAAATTCGACTTACGTCGCATCTCCTGGAACCAATTACCGACGTAAGTCGAGGTATACCTGTATTTAACACTCAAAAAAAAGCTGTTTTGGATATTAATTTTAAATTCTAATAACCAGAGATATAAAATTTCAGAACAAGATAGAATGAATAATTATATTATTAAAAAATTCAGCAACTAGTTACTTAACTTTCCCGGCGACATTTGATGAATCCATCTGTTAGGATATTTTATTAAAAAGAATTTTTTAAATATATTTTTAACTATTATGAAACGGCTAAAAGCTTAATTTTGAAAGTAAAAATGGATTTTATAAAACACGATACCCAAATATGTAAACCGAGCGTGTTTTTTTCTATACAGCACATACAATACTTACATGTAAAATCCAGTAATCCCGATACCGCCGGTCCGATTTATGCCGGATTACAGAGACTCTACTGTATTTTCATTTTACACCTAAGTTTCTAATGTTTCATAAAAACCATACGACATACCTAGATTATATGTTAACATGACCACACACCAAAAAAAAAAAGTAAGTATTTCGCGATTCTTGTAAATCTGATAGATATAATTGTATAACACTTAAATTTATTTTACATTAAATTACATTAACATTGTTCTTTCGAGAAATCATAGTTTTTCTTTTGTAATTTCGTGCCGGACTGGAACAAACTTTCTTCATCTTCTCTGCTTGTATACTACATAATTTATAAGACTTGCATTCGAAAACATAAAAACAATGTAATAGTTTCATAAATAAAATCATATTTTAATATTTTCAATTATATTTATTTTAATCTATTTATGTAAATGTCACATTTAATTAATTTTTATTTTAAAATATGCGTAATTAGAAAAACAATTGAATTGAAAACAATACTTTAGAAATGAATATAAAGTAACACTGAATCCCGTTTGTTAGAATTGTTTTATTGGTGAAAATTCATCTTTAGGTTTAATGTTCTCTACGAGTTTTTCTCATTACGTGTTCCTTTCTTTCAATATTTAAAGTTTAAAATAGACGATGTCTTCATAACGAAAAGATAAGTGTAAATCCACTCTTTAATAATTGCAAGAGCTATTATTAATGTGGAATCTTTTCATTTTCAGGTTTCAAGTAGTCCAAAGGGAAGTATGTGTCCATAATTATCGTATTGCTGATTGATTACTTATGATTTCACTTTTATCTGCATCGAAGAGTATTTCATCCGCCGATACATAAATATAACACACTACTGTATATACATTGCGTCAAAAGAAACCTGCCATAGGAGATTGTGTGCGAAAGCTTGTAAGCAAACCATCAGAAGCAAGTGTATAGTGCGATGCGATAGTCTTTTGATGCATGGTTCCAATCTGCAAATAATTATTTTAAATAAACTTTCGAATCCATTATAGACATTTGTGTTTTGGAAATGGCGTGATTCCAGTTTTTCCCGTAATGTCGATGCTGCCTAGACATTACGGGGTTTCTGGACAAACAAAAAACCCACGGAGAAGGGTGAGACCTTGACGATGGTTCCGTGGCTTGAAATGGAATTTATTTTCTGTCACTAACTTCACCCGGCAGAAGAAATCACAAATATTTCTAAAATGTATTTTTGTTTATAATTATTCTTTTGGTGGAGTGAATAAAACAACTAAACGCTAGTTACGGTCGTAGGCTGGCCTCGTGCGTTTTCTGGGTTTTCTTAAATTTAGTAAAATTTAAGTAGGGGATCATTTCCGAGAATTTGTAATGCAGATTAACTATATTAGTAAGGCCACGGCCATCTTATTTACGAACAAATTATTATTATTTAGTTTTAATTTTTGTCTGTAATATATAGCCTACTTATTTTGTTTCCATGACGAGTATAAATAGACCAAAAACGTTTGGGTTATTATAAATTTAATGGTCTGTAGGTTAATTGGTATTGTGTTTTCAGTAAAAATTAAATTGCTTAAACTAATTTCAAAATAAAGAAATTAAAATCTTCACAAATATAAGACAAACAGACAAATTATTTATTAATCGATTACATTATAAAAATTGTACATCTTGATTAACATAAACAATAGAAGGTATTTTCCACATGTTAAGCTTGATAAATATTTGATCCCTGAAGAGAATTGAAAAAAACAGATTAATTCAGAAAAATTAATTTCAGATTTTACTCAATATACAGGAAAGATAAATAATAAAGTTATTAGAATGATTTAAAATTACTTTATACTAATTTGCATCTTCCGAGGTACCCTGTATCAAAAATATGACCAATAAACGCTGTTATTTTGGTTATATTTTTGGTGTGGGGATCTCACCCAGCGCTCACAAATCATGTTTTCTACTATATTTACATCGTTAAACAAAATACTTTTTAAATTAATACTTACTTAACAATGGATGCGTATTTGTTCTCACGTTATTGTTCCCCCTTCGTTAGTCCGTTATAAATGAAATCATATTTTCTATAACTTATGGCACGTTTATATACATATTGAATAAAGTAAATGATTGTAAAACCAAATTTGTCTTCGCAAGAAGAAACAAAACTACGTGTCTGATATCAAATTCTGGTCGATAAGTCTTCTGATAATTCAATTAATTTAGATTAACGATAAAACATTTAAAGCTTTTATCTTATACACTATAACTTCGTCTTGCACACAGACTTTATAATTAATTTCTATGAACTTTATGTATAGACAGCAATGCCACGATATTTACTGACACAGATACTTGTATATGAACTCAATTGTTAAGCTAGCCGCCATATTTAGAGTAAGTGTAGTGTCAACGAGCAATTATTTATTGTGACATCATCACGATGTCGGGCCGTAATTTTTAATCATATTCTTAACTTATGTTCTCCATTTGAAATTTGTAGTGTCTTGCCCCTGTACATTATACTTTTCCTGATAACAATAGGGTCGAGCCGGTCATCTATGTAAGTGTATTGAGAGAATATCAGATTAGAGTTGTTCTTGGTCTATTGTTTTCTTATAGAATTGTTAGAATTACCAGATTAATCATAATTAATTTTTCGCGAAACAGTGCAACTATCCCATCAATGGTGAAGTGAATAAAACCACTAAATAATAGTAGTGGTTGCGGGTTCGTACCTTATCAACGGGTTGTTTTTGCTTTATTCACGTGTCTAACACTTAAATAGAAGCCACATTTTCATTGAAACTCTATGATGAATTAGATAATGAATATCTTCTTGTGTATGCAAGCACAGTACTTATAAATGTGCATAAATAATATAAAAATTAACGATTTTTAAACTGCATATATTAATACTTTAAAGCAAGATTTTCCTCTTAAAATAAAGTTATATTCTGATTTAAAAGAAAAATAATGCTACTCAAGTTACCATATCGATGTCATTTACCTTCAGCTGATTTCTATCAACGATATTCTAACGTTACTTTCGAGGGGAGTTAGCCATTTTACTTGACGAATTTAAGTGTTTTATTTTCATCGAACAATGTTTAAATTTATATGTTGGATACTCTTTTTAAGTACTTTACTTCTAGCAATTAAAAGTAAGTTTTTACTGTTATATTCGAATATATTCTTTTATAAAATTTAATACATGTTGTAATTACAGAAATTAATTCAGAAAATGTAAAGAACGATACTTTAATTAACTATTACAAGAAATTAAGAAGCGATTTACAATTGAATTATGATGTACGAGCACGTCCTGTGAAGTATCATTCGAACGTCACGCAAGTGCAAGTTGATATATTTCTTGTATATGTTTTCGACGTGGTAAGTTTTTCACATAATTTGAGTAACTTTAAAATTATTTTACGTAAAACTTTTTAAATTTTTATTTGAATTTTCGCATTATTTCTCATTTGTATGACATCCCGCACCGCATTGAGGACTGAAAGTCTTGTAATGTGGTTTCGTGAGATCTAGAATGTTTTTTCCACATTCTATTACTTAAAAATTTTTCAAAATTGTTCTTACCTTTATCTTAATATAGATTAGAACTTTCTATAAACAACTGGTTCTTATTTAGTATTAGAAACGTGAAGAAAACCCATAAAACTGCACTCTTTGGCGAAGTGGTAATTCGTGATCACCAGTGGTCGATTGGATAAAACCATAGACTTACCAGTGTTAAATGTTTTATCCAATCGACCACCAGTGCTTGTTTTATATGCAGTTGATATGTATGACTACAATAAAATATAAGCTGTAGCCTATATATAGCCTATAAGTATATTATTATATGGCTGAAATATACGAAAGTGTAATTGTTGGTGTTTTCAAAAAATGCAGCGTTATTTTTTCAGCAGAAACATTTTCAATGTCCATATCTTGAAATCAGAGGTGAAATTAAGCCAAATTTATATAATTTGTATGGTGAAATTCAGAAATTAAAACCCCATTTTGTAATAATTGTTATATAGTATGCATGCATGGGTGTTCTCTGAGTTATGAAAGATTTCTTTTGAAAATTTAGAGTTGGCAATAACAACATGATTTTTATTTTATTATATTAAACTCTTCTTTATGGTCATAAGAAACCACGTTTTCCATACTTATCATAGGTGGTTCGGCTAATTCCATAATGGGTGCAGTCGGGTAGTGAAGGACGAGACCCAATCACAAATACATATCATTAACTACAGAGTGTTAATAACGTCATCAAAAAACAATTTAATTGTATTTCTAAATATTCTAATTTTACATAATTATATACATTATAACTTAATTCTAATTACTAATACAGAATTTTTACGAATGTAGAACGAAGAAAAACAGACCGCGTTAATTGATGTTGCTATTGGTTTGGTAAAAAAATATTATATTCTATTTTAATTATTTTATTTTTAATTGAATTATAATATAAGTTAATTTATAAAACTTTATTAGATATGGACTGATTCCTTTTTAACTTGGGATCCAAGCAAGTATAATGGCATAACAAAACTCGATATTCTTCCAAATGAAATATGGAAACCCGACATTTTCGAAATGAGAAGCGGGTAATTTAAATATTAAAATGTGATAAATTTTTAATTTTTTATTACTAAATTAACAAAAAAGGAATTTTATTTTTTAGAGATCCAAATAGTGCGCTTACAGAAAGTAAAATTGCTGTAAGATTATATCCAAATGGGGTTATTGTTTGGTACATACCAACATCCTTAACTGGAAGATGTACATTCAAATACAATAATTATCCTACTGATACTGCAACTTGTGAAATTATACTTGAAAATTTTGTCTCACGAGGAAATGCTGTAGATATTTTAGTTCCGTTTGATAAACCATATACGGATTTTTTACGCAACGATAACCCTTATTGGAATATTGAAGATAGTAAGTTGAAACGAAGAGCATATAATCACTCGAATTCATTTTATCCCTCAGCAATATTGACCTTATCACTTAGTAGAAGACAACCCACTATTCAGCAACAGTTACTATGGATAATTTCAGTTATCTCCAGTCTATTAACATTTTGTATGCTTTGGATACCGACGGATGTCAGACAGAAGTTAACAATAGGCTGTGTCGTATTGGTGATTTTAAGTGTTGGTCTAGTTGCAGTCGAATCATCTGTTCGAGTGTTTAAAGTGTCAATTTTTATAGGTAAGAAAAGTATAAGTACATTCAATAAAAAATAAATTTAAAAAAACACAGGAGGTTCTCAGCGATATAAGTAAGATCGTATTTCAAAGCTGATTGGCTTCAGTAACCAATAAGCATTAAGAAATTTATACGATCAACCAATCACAGTTAAAACTTAATTTAAATCATATTTTGCTTGTATCACAGAGAACCAAATATGTTTATACTTTTTCACTCATAAAATTATGAATATTTATCTTGTATTTTACGAAAGTAATATAAAATGTTGTGAATAATTTTAATTAATTAGTTATTAGCGTTACTACAATTAAAATATATTTAATTTATTTCAGCAAATATTATCGACACCACCATGTATGTCGTCGTAACAACCGTTATTCTTGAAATAATCATCATCAGTTTGCAACATGTCGAAGATTTCGATCCTCCTGAATTTATTCTGAAGATTTTTTCGGGGAAAGTATCAAGATTTCTGCTTATTAATCATATTTTTCTAGAAGAAAAGAATATAGATACAATAAATCTATATGAAAATCAAGATGAAATATTTTATTCTCAAAAAATATCCAAAAATGATAATTGGAAAATTTTTGGTCAGATAATTGATAGAATGCTTTTCTTTATTTACTTGATAATTCTTTGCGTTATCCATATAAATTGACGAAGAACTAAAAGAAAAAGAATTAAATTTCATATAGAAGAGAATGGAAAGTAAAGAATTTTTATCACGAAAAACAGCATGAAAATCCTTTCCTCGTTATCACTGACAAGGAATTTTAACCATAAAAGTTACTTCTGTAACGGATGAATAAATTTTCAGTTATAAATAATTTAATTATTAATGAAAAATTGGATGAGATAAGACAACATAACACTTGGACGATCTCCAGTAGGATTTTCTAGAGAAAATAGTTCTTATTTAGGTGTTAGATACATGAAGAAAACCAGGAAAACTTGTGATCAGCCCGGTGGTTGGATGAGAATCCACAATAAGTGTTCAGTGGCTTTATTCATTCGGCTAGTTATTAACTAAGATTTTGCTCTGAGGGTAATCAGGGAGGATGACTTTAAAAGTACAGTCAGAATGAAGAAAAATTAAGATGCATTTCCGATACATCTAGAAGAAAACGTCGTAAATAAACTCTGATCTTTCTTCTTGAACAACACACAATCACGTAATATAAGCAAGCGATCGATAACCGAACATTTTTTTTTCTTATAAGAAATGAAATAATGGATTGATATTGAGTTATCCATTAATAAAATGTAATTTTAGATTTGTTCTTTAAGACGATGTTGTTATTTTAGTTTTATTGCTAAAGCCTCTTGGGAGGAATCCAATGCCCACATCACCCCTATAAGTTCGCTACAGTGAAGGGCATAGACGTAAGATTTTAGAAATTATGAAAGTACTCATTATCTGAAGATAAAAATAATATAAAATATTCTAATTATTTTCTCCTCTATAGAAACATGACATTTTTAATTCTATTTTAAATTTATTTAATTTAAAATATCTATCTTCGTGGTGCCCCTATACTGTACATCGTACTTTTTCTGATAACAACAGATGATGATGCCAGTCATCTATCTACTCCGTTCTCGACATTAAAGAAGGACAGACAGTAGACAGACTGACGAACTCCAGTGGAGGTTATAGATCTGCAATTTTAATTAATAAGCCAATGTTAACCAATAGAGATTCCAGCCAGTAAAATGGCATTGAATCGATGCCATTTTATTGGCTATAATCTCTTTTCTCAAATCTTATATTTCTGATTACACTTCCCTGAATATCTTCTCCTCATCTTATTTTCATATTACAATTTTATAACAGAAAAATAAAGCTTAAATTTGGTTTCATTAGAATAATCTAAGAAAAAATGTTTCACTGTCATACTATCAGTAATTATTTCCAAACTACAGTGTGTTATCCGAGTAAAAAGAATGAAAATCTTTGGAAAATAATTGTCTACGAAAATTTCAGATGACTTTATATATATCTTGAGTCAATTTCTAGTGCAGTTTTCCTATCAGCAAATGCTCTCATTGCCGTAGACCGGTGGACCCAAAGTAAAGTCCCCGGGCCGCGATTACATTTGACACGTTTTGTTTATGTAATACATATTTGTGGCTTGCCTACTTACGTGCAATTTGGCCCGTCAATCGAAAAGTTTGGCCACTAGATAATGTTTCATTTGAATGATGAAGTGAAGCATCTACAACTCTGGATTGTATTATCCATTAGACAAAACAAGCACATTGTATTGAGCATACGAAGAGTTTTGTGACTTGAAATGAAATTTATCTGAAAATTTGAAATGCAAATGAACAAATCAACAATCATTGTTTTATGAATGAAATAAATAATACACATTTAGGAACTTGTCGACACATCTTATATGAAGTAAGCTCTATCTCCTGTTTGCAACAGATCCTTAAACGAAATATGTACCTTTTTCAGTGACTACCTTCTCATTCAAGGAAATTTAAGTTTTAATATGGTCCATTTTTTTCGTAATCAGATTGATTAGCTACTTAACAATTCACTCACGAGTCAGAATTCAGATATGAATGGCACATAAAGTTAAAATGAAGAAGAATTTGTGTATCTTGGGCTGTATATTCATTCAATGCTAAGTAAACGACTAATTTATTATTGAAAATATCAACCCCTATTCATGAAAACCATTTGTTTAATTAAACGATGAATTCGCACATTTTATACTGTCTGAGAGAACTATCAAACAGTGCACTGTTAGTTAAGGGTCTACCATGATACACAGTTTCTGTTTTTAGTTCATTTATCTTGCATTAGTTGTTCAATTACCAATTGCAATCCATCTTTTTCTACTTTGGAAAAAATGACGACATTGAAGCTTTTAGAAGGTAAGGTTTGAAGGAACAAAAACATGCGAACAAAATCTAAACTCAGAGGTCACTTAACACATAATTCTCTTCTGACCAGATCGAAGTTACAATTCAATTTTTAGTATAGGTCGACTATCACTAATACGGCATCCTCGAGACCTGCAGTATGCTGGATTAGTGATATTGCCGGATGACAGAGTGGATTAGGTTAGAATACACTTAATCCTGACGCGCAACAGTGTTTATGTAGCAAGTAGTGCCAGCTGCACATCGAACAGTAGTGAGGCAATCTGAAAATTTGAGATTACATTAGCCGAAATTAATGCCTGATTAGTGATTGCTGGGTCAGTGATCACTCTCAATGATCCTGCATCTGTATCAGTGCCAGTATCAACTCAGCTCAACACTGTCTCATTAAAGAAAATCTATTTTAATTTTTTTTTGTTTCATTTTAAATGTATACTAGAATGAAACCACCTCTGGAAAATATTACGTTTTTTGCATAGATTCCAGTTTATTAAGTCCTCCCCACTCAAAATACGACACATGTACTGTACATGTGAGGCTCCGGAAGTGGATCGAAATTCGTGCACGAAAAATATTTTAATTTCGAATGAAAAAAAAAATTATAATTATAATGATTATTTTATATTGTAAAAAGAAACCATCAAACGCAAAATGAATATTTTATCTCCATATAAGGACATATCTGTAAAAATTTCTAAGAAAATCGAACTACTCAGGTTAAAACAATGGATGAATTTGAGTACTTAGATCGAACGTCTTCGATAGGAATCAAATTGTCAATCGGAGTTGACTCACCCCACGATCTGGGCACCGATCTCGTTACAATTCGTAACGAGGAGGGGGACCAATTAGAGAGAGGGGGTAGATCGGAATCGACCTATCGAAATGTTCGATCTGGAACCCAGAAAAAACTTATAAAAACCGCGCAAAAAATTGTGACGTTCTTGGTTCTAAGTTCGGTGTGCTCCGCTTCTGGATTATTCCTGCGGTTCAACAACGGGAATTTGGTCGTCGTTCCGAAAGAAGTTTTCCCCATCCCGTTCCAGCAAGTTTCGCCAAGGGTAATCTGCTACGATAATCATCATTTCAAGTTGTGCTGTGCGCCCCGGAGCCGACGTTTTCTTCATCATCTTCGCCAAAAGGAGAGAAGATCGTAGAAAAGATTGAACTTTATTTACAAACTGATTCACTCTACGGATAGGCCTTACGCCGAAGAAAAACAGTAGTTGTAAGCGAAATTTTTATATTTAATAAATAGTTTGCGATGGAGGACCTGTCTCAGTAAGTTTTTTCACTCCCACACGACAGTGCTGACCGCTCGATTGTCGCGACACTTTCTCCCCAATCGGCAAACCTCACATACAGTACAGTACCATGTTTACCAAGAAGATTTAATAGCATCAATCTCCCTAACTCATAAACCTCTCATCAAAATTTTTGAGTCTATATGAACGTGAGAATATAAACGATGATATATTTAAAAAATAATTTGAAAAATAAATGAAAATTTCTATTTTGTAATGATGTTAAGATGATGTTTAGAAATGTAGAATTCTAATAATGAGACGGTGGACATTTGAATTACCGTAACAGTTAATTCAGCACTTCATTTATAAATAATATAAATAAATTTAAATATTTAAATTAATTTTATACAATTATCCAAACCGAAACAAATAGAAATCTTACCACGTTCATGATAGATAAAGGATCTATAAACACATGAACTTCTGTGACGTTAGTGTTGTACTTAACAGGGCGAGCATTAACGTCATAATCTGCTGTTAAATGTTGTCTTAACCTTCGATAATGATCCATAATCGTTTCATTACCAAATACCTCTAATTCCATTTCTGTAACAGTATCAATTTCTTCGAGTAAATGCTGATAACCGTCGTTAAGATTTCCCTTCGCTAGGAAGGGTAAAATACACAGAAACATCGTGTAAAGTTTATACGCAGCCATTGTTATACGTCAGATTGAATCCAGAAAACAGAATCAACAAACACCCCTCGATAATGGTATCTTTGATGACAATCACCTGCGTACTGTTGTACTAGTATCTGAATGATATTCTGCCCTAACAATTTATAGGTTATTATTAAAATGTCTGCTGTTTGTCCTTACATTAATACTATTTAAAATAATTGTTTGTACATAAATAAAACACTTGTAAATAGTATATTAGGGCTTATTATACCATAGATATCAAATATTTAAAACATTTCTAAAACTTCAATTATAATAAAGACTATATATTTTAAAAATTACAATTATTACATTTTTCAGGTAGATTAACCACCTACAGCTGTACATTGATAAAGTAAACTCAATTAGGCCTACATTCAAATTTCTTTTTGCTGTTTTCATCTGTTGTACAATTAATTCTTGGTTTGAAAATTTAGTTCCTATAATTTAACAATATTGTATATAAGTTATTATAGATTTACAGTATTATTTGATCAAGAAAAGATTTTTAATTGACTCTGTATTGGTTCTGTCAGCTTGATCTCTTTTCTTATGACTGAAGTACATCATATAAATGCTTTTCTGCCAGGTGGAATGATCAGAAAGCCAGAATAATGGCGGACATTGTTTCGTATTTCCAAAGCGTTTTAGAATTTCTNGGAACTCGACCGCGGATTGGCTAGAAAACTTCGTACGACCAGCGGACGTCCGATAGCGCTACTAAACGCTGATTGGTGGAATTAAATTCGTCTCAATCCGTATAAAAGGATTGAGATTAGGCGGGAAGTTTAGTTCGCCAAAGACATATTCAGGCAACTCAAGTTTGATTAGCTTCGCATAAAAAGGTTGTTTCGTCTCGCTGTGCGGTAACTAACGTCTGAAGGAATACGTTGCAAGGAGTCCTTTTCGACGGACCTGTTGTGGTGGTTTAATTGACGTTTGAACTTTGCTATATCTGAATTATTGTAATTGTTTTATTTTTGTAACGTCATAACTGTATGTAAGTTTTAATCGTTAATATAAACGTTTGTGAATTGTGAACAAGTGGTTTGTGAACTTGACTAGCAAAAGATTATTTTGTCTCACAAATCATCTTTGCCCTATGTAGAAATTTAGGACGTACAGTCATCCAGTCGGCAGGACAAAAGACTCGCTCAAAACAGAAGCAAAAAGTCAACTTTCCAAGCACGGTTCAAGTTTTAGCATTCTGGCATTGGTGGTTTGGCTCCTTTCTGATGGGACTGCCAATCTTATCAGGCAATTCTTGAACAACATTTACTGTCGTCCATAGCCCATCTTCGGCCGCATAGAGGTACGATTTTTCAGCGAAATCCCGCCAAGCCGCATACTGTGCGCTCCATTAGTGCTTGGCTTTCCCAAAATACTGCCCAAGTTCTCATGATTCAAATTCGCTCTATCTCAGTCCGATCAACGATCTTTCGCGTGTTCTCGAGAAACAGGTGCTGTAATGCAAATCGGAATTAGAAATCAACTGAAAACGATTCTTCAAGAAACATGGACCAACATTCTACAAGATGTTTTCCGTGACTAGGCGAGATGCCAACGTGTACGCTGCAAAGTGAAGATCCACGAAGTGGTAATTGCATGTGAATGCTGAGTGTGCATAAATTTATGGTCTCCTAAATTTATTTTAGAGGAATAATGATTTCAGGTGTGTATTGGAGACTCCTGTTACAAAAATTGAGCCAATTTTTTTGTAAGCCGTAGCTCAAGTAGTTTAATTTATTTACTAATTAAACGAAGTTGCAAAGGAGTCCAGTTTTCTTACCATTTATCACAATCACGAATGCAGTGCGTGTATATTTATTGCCACTGAAAATAGAAATAGATCCACAGTAAGATATGTCTGATATCTGAAGAATAATTTACCAAAAAAATTTTAGTTTAATTCAATTTCATAAAAACTTTTGAAAATTTTTAGTGATTTATGATTCGAAATTATTTATTTTAGCTTCTAACATTTTAATTTAATGTTTATCGTTCTAGCTAAACCTATTCACAACACAATGTTCGTCGTCTTAGTGGCTATTGTATTCGAGGTCATCATCATTAATTTTCGATACATTCAAGACTATGAACCGCCCGAATTTATCCTCAACATATTTTCAGGAACCATTGCTAAATTATTAATAATTAATTCAGTTCGCACGGAAGAGAAACCAATGGACAAAATGAATTTGTACGAAAATCAAGACGAATTGGCTCCTCTTCAACGACTAACGAAAAACGAAAACTGGCAAATAATTGCTCAAATTCTGGATAGAATATTGTTCATTTTTTATGTACTATTACTATGTTCTATACCTAAAACAATATAAACTTGAATTTTGATGACTTTATTCAAATTCAAACATTGAAGAATATTAAATATAATAGTGTGTGTATACTATTCAGTTTTCTTTAGTTTTAAATTCACAGAAAATTATAATACAAACGGGTCAGATGGCCCAGACAATTAAAGAGTAAGTTTACTGCTTTGAATAACCGGAATCGAATCTGGTAGAGCAACCAGGGAATTTTTCGTAGGTTGTTTTTCTTAAAAATGCCTAATCCCGTCCCAAGCCACCTGGCTGCCCCTATTGTAGGCATGGTGAAATTCATGATGAGCATGACTAATAACTCATCCATATTTTGCTAGATATGGAGTTTTCCATGATCCATGAAAAACTCCATATTTTGCTAGCAGTCTCTAGCGGCCAACATTAGTAAATGTAACGAGAGTAATTGCACCGAAACACACAATATGGCAATGTTTTACATGTGTCATTCATGAATTCCAGTATGTCTCCCATGCAATGAGTTACAACTAACATATCCTTGTATGAATACGTACACATACCAGGCACACACACGTAAATTAAAGTATCGTTTATATGTTTCGCATTTTCACATTTATTTTAAAAAGTCCTGGAATTATTACAATGTTCAATATTAACATAGAACTAAAGACTGTTAGTTTATATACGAAAATTCAAAAATAAATTTATAAAAAAGTACAATTATAATCATATTACTAGGGCACCCGAGTCTTGACTATGCAACAATTACTTAGAAATTTATTACCCTTAATCAGATATGATCTTCCGAAAAGATTAGAGTTTCTCGAAAGAAGAGTTGTAAATGGAATGCCGCTTATTATGTATTTGAATGTCTGGTCTAAATTATAATGTTGTATTCAGAAAATTAATGATTTTATTAGCTGTTTTACATAAATACACATTTTAATAATATGTAACGTAACGCGTTTGTATATACAGTACTGTATACTCTTGTGTATACTGTATATACGTTTCCAAAATGCCTTATAACAGTTTGCTGTGATATCTGTGTACTTATGCATGTAGATGAGTGAGCCATAATATAACTTGCAGTACTGTGTTGTTTGTGTTTTTCTGTTCTACAAACATGTATTATGGAGATTATTAAGGATTAAGGAGAGGTCCACTCTACCATCCGTCTTTCGGATGGTAGAGTGGACCTCTCCTTAAAAGTCTGGTGGATTTTCCAGTTTCTCATAACAATGAGAGAAATTCTAAAACGCTTTGGAAATACGAAACAATGTCCGCCATTATTCTGGCTTTCTGATCATTCCACCTGGCAGAAAAGCATTTATATGATGTACTTCAGTCATAAGAAAAGAGATCAAGCTGACAGAACCAATACAGAGTCAATTAAAAATCTTTTCTTGATCAAATAATACTGTAAATCTATAATAACTTATATACAATATTGTTAAATTATAGGAACTAAATTTTCAAACCAAGAATTAATTGTACAACAGATGAAAACAGCAAAAAGAAATTTGAATGTAGGCCTAATTGAGTTTACTTTATCAATGTACAGCTGTAGGTGGTTAATCTACCTGAAAAATGTAATAATTGTAATTTTTAAAATATATAGTCTTTATTATAATTGAAGTTTTAGAAATGTTTTAAATATTTGATATCTATGGTATAATAAGCCCTAATATACTATTTACAAGTGTTTTATTTATGTACAAACAATTATTTTAAATAGTATTAATGTAAGGACAAACAGCAGACATTTTAATAATAACCTATAAATTGTTAGGGCAGAATATCATTCAGATACTAGTACAACAGTACGCAGGTGATTGTCATCAAAGATACCATTATCGAGGGGTGTTTGTTGATTCTGTTTTCTGGATTCAATCTGACGTATAACAATGGCTGCGTATAAACTTTACACGATGTTTCTGTGTATTTTACCCTTCCTAGCGAAGGGAAATCTTAACGACGGTTATCAGCATTTACTCGAAGAAATTGATACTGTTACAGAAATGGAATTAGAGGTATTTGGTAATGAAACGATTATGGATCATTATCGAAGGTTAAGACAACATTTAACAGCAGATTATGACGTTAATGCTCGCCCTGTTAAGTACAACACTAACGTCACAGAAGTTCATGTGTTTATAGATCCTTTATCTATCATGAACGTGGTAAGATTTCTATTTGTTTCGGTTTGGATAATTGTATAAAATTCATTTAAATATTTACATTTATGTTTTCAGGATGAAGAGAAACAAACCATGGATTTAGACTGTATTATCGTTCTAGTAAGTTTATAAAATTTAACTAAATAAGTTCTGTTACTGTCAATAACATATAAATTATAATAAATTTCATTAAAATTACACTTTCAAAAACAATAAAGAATAATGTTATTTTGCTGTTTGCAAATTGGTAGAATTAATAATAATGTTCATAAAATTTTATGTTATTAAAAGGATATTTAAAAGGGTGAGTAGAATTATAACAAACTTAAATTTGAATTATAAAATTTTAATTTAGTGCTGGATAGATGAACATTTGATTTGGAAAGAAAGAGAATTTAATAATATTTCAATGATAACTATGCCACCAAAATCTATTTGGAAACCAGATATTTACGAAATACATTACGGGTAAGTTAATTTTTCAAATCTATTATCCGTTTTTATTAATTTATTAAATTCTTTCAATTCTACTATATTTATTCATGAGCATTGTAGAAATTGCATCTCAAGTTTTTGTGTAAAATCACTGAGCACTCGTTTGTGTCTCACTATAGGACTCGACATGTGAAATTTACCAGGTTTTCTTTACGAGTATAACACTTAAATCAGATCCAGTTTTCCATACAAAATACTCTGAAATGGATCCTTTGTCAGATCGGACGAGTCGCAATATTATTTCATTAATCTAATTTAACTCAATCGCCTTCGAAATGAGATTAATCTTCTAGGTAATCCAAAGTAACAGGTCAATACAAAATTGCGTTTTGATTACATCATCAGAAACCCAGTTTTTCCTTTTTTAACTCTCCCTCCTTTTGGGCTCTAAGAAACTTATCGTGGCCACAATAGGGCGAGTATGTGTTGACGGATGAAACCCAACACGTCCAGACAAACCACCTGGTGATTTTCGACTGGCAGGATTCGATTCCGGGTCCTCTAAAAAGTAGGTTGACGACCTAATCCCGCAGCAATCTGGTCGGTTAAAGGTCTAGTTTTAATTACAATTCATAATCCTAAGACAGATGTCAAGCTAGCATCTGTCTTAGGATTATGGAGTTTACTACAGGAATAGTTTTTGTAGTAAACTCTACGTTTATAGCCTGGATCTTATATTTAACTCTAATTTTTGTAGTGACCTTTTAGTGTTAACATAAATTAAATGTAGGAGAATATATACCATGTAATTTGCATTTTCAAGATGATATTGACTATTAAACACAATATACATAAAAAAATTATTTGAACAATTCTGATGTCAGAAGATTAGTTATTATAATGCTGAATTATATTTAAACTTCTTAATTTAATTACAGTGTATTAATTAGTGTTCATGGTTATTTAACTTTCATTTCTTACGAATTTCTTCACGTATATGTTTAAATAAACCCTATTTAAATGGTTCTTTCAAACACCATAACCGTGTATTTCTATTAATAGGACTTATTATACTGGTGTATAAAATTATAGCAACACAGTCACACAGATTAAAATTGGTTTATTTATGATTACAGGTAATCATAAATAAACCAATTTTAATCTGTGTGACTGTGTTGCTATAATTTTATACACCAGTATAATAAGTCCTATTAATAGAAATACACGGTTATGGTGTTTGAAAGAACCATTTAAATAGGGTTTATTTAAACATATACGTGAAGAAATTCGTAAGAAATGAAAGTTAAATAACCATGAACACTAATTAATACACTGTAATTAAATTAAGAAGTTTAAATATAATTCAGCATTATAATAACTAATCTTCTGACATCAGAATTGTTCAAATAATTTTTTTATGTATATTGTGTTTAATAGTCAATATCATCTTGAAAATGCAAATTACATGGTATATATTCTCCTACATTTAATTTATGTTAACACTAAAAGGTCACTACAAAAATTAGAGTTAAATATAAGATCCAGGCTATAAACGTAGAGTTTACTACAAAAACTATTCCTGTAGTAAACTCCATAATCCTAAGACAGATGCTAGCTTGACATCTGTCTTAGGATTATGAATTGTAATTAAAACTAGACCTTTAACCGACCAGATTGCTGCGGGATTAGGTCGTCAACCTACTTTTTAGAGGACCCGGAATCGAATCCTGCCAGTCGAAAATCACCAGGTGGTTTGTCTGGACGTGTTGGGTTTCATCCGTCAACACATACTCGCCCTATTGTGGCCACGATAAGTTTCTTAGAGCCCAAAAGGAGGGAGAGTTAAAAAAGGAAAAACTGGGTTTCTGATGATGTAATCAAAACGCAATTTTGTATTGACCTGTTACTTTGGATTACCTAGAAGATTAATCTCATTTCGAAGGCGATTGAGTTAAATTAGATTAATGAAATAATATTGCGACTCGTCCGATCTGACAAAGGATCCATTTCAGAGTATTTTGTATGGAAAACTGGATCTGATTTAAGTGTTATACTCGTAAAGAAAACCTGGTAAATTTCACATGTCGAGTCCTATAGTGAGACACAAACGAGTGCTCAGTGATTTTACACAAAAACTTGAGATGCAATTTCTACAATGCTCATGAATAAATATAGTAGAATTGAAAGAATTTAATAAATTAATAAAAACGGATAATAGATTTGAAAAATTAACTTACCCGTAATGTATTTCGTAAATATCTGGTTTCCAAATAGATTTTGGTGGCATAGTTATCATTGAAATATTATTAAATTCTCTTTCTTTCCAAATCAAATGTTCATCTATCCAGCACTAAATTAAAATTTTATAATTCAAATTTAAGTTTGTTATAATTCTACTCACCCTTTTAAATATCCTTTTAATAACATAAAATTTTATGAACATTATTATTAATTCTACCAATTTGCAAACAGCAAAATAACATTATTCTTTATTGTTTTTGAAAGTGTAATTTTAATGAAATTTATTATAATTTATATGTTATTGACAGTAACAGAACTTATTTAGTTAAATTTTATAAACTTACTAGAACGATAATACAGTCTAAATCCATGGTTTGTTTCTCTTCATCCTGAAAACATAAATGTAAATATTTAAATGAATTTTATACAATTATCCAAACCGAAACAAATAGAAATCTTACCACGTTCATGATAGATAAAGGATCTATAAACACATGAACTTCTGTGACGTTAGTGTTGTACTTAACAGGGCGAGCATTAACGTCATAATCTGCTGTTAAATGTTGTCTTAACCTTCGATAATGATCCATAATCGTTTCATTACCAAATACCTCTAATTCCATTTCTGTAACAGTATCAATTTCTTCGAGTAAATGCTGATAACCGTCGTTAAGATTTCCCTTCGCTAGGAAGGGTAAAATACACAGAAACATCGTGTAAAGTTTATACGCAGCCATTGTTATACGTCAGATTGAATCCAGAAAACAGAATCAACAAACACCCCTCGATAATGGTATCTTTGATGACAATCACCTGCGTACTGTTGTACTAGTATCTGAATGATATTCTGCCCTAACAATTTATAGGTTATTATTAAAATGTCTGCTGTTTGTCCTTACATTAATACTATTTAAAATAATTGTTTGTACATAAATAAAACACTTGTAAATAGTATATTAGGGCTTATTATACCATAGATATCAAATATTTAAAACATTTCTAAAACTTCAATTATAATAAAGACTATATATTTTAAAAATTACAATTATTACATTTTTCAGGTAGATTAACCACCTACAGCTGTACATTGATAAAGTAAACTCAATTAGGCCTACATTCAAATTTCTTTTTGCTGTTTTCATCTGTTGTACAATTAATTCTTGGTTTGAAAATTTAGTTCCTATAATTTAACAATATTGTATATAAGTTATTATAGATTTACAGTATTATTTGATCAAGAAAAGATTTTTAATTGACTCTGTATTGGTTCTGTCAGCTTGATCTCTTTTCTTATGACTGAAGTACATCATATAAATGCTTTTCTGCCAGGTGGAATGATCAGAAAGCCAGAATAATGGCGGACATTGTTTCGTATTTCCAAAGCGTTTTAGAATTTCTCTCATTGTTATGAGAAACTGGAAAATCCACCAGACTTTTAAGGAGAGGTCCACTCTACCATCCGAAAGACGGATGGTAGAGTGGACCTCTCCTTAATCCTTAATAATCTCCATAATACATGTTTGTAGAACAGAAAAACACAAACAACACAGTACTGCAAGTTATATTATGGCTCACTCATCTACATGCATAAGTACACAGATATCACAGCAAACTGTTATAAGGCATTTTGGAAACGTATATACAGTATACACAAGAGTATACAGTACTGTATATACAAACGCGTTACGTTACATATTATTAAAATGTGTATTTATGTAAAACAGCTAATAAAATCATTAATTTTCTGAATACAACATTATAATTTAGACCAGACATTCAAATACATAATAAGCGGCATTCCATTTACAACTCTTCTTTCGAGAAACTCTAATCTTTTCGGAAGATCATATCTGATTAAGGGTAATAAATTTCTAAGTAATTGTTGCATAGTCAAGACTCGGGTGCCCTAGTAATATGATTATAATTGTACTTTTTTATAAATTTATTTTTGAATTTTCGTATATAAACTAACAGTCTTTAGTTCTATGTTAATATTGAACATTGTAATAATTCCAGGACTTTTTAAAATAAATGTGAAAATGCGAAACATATAAACGATACTTTAATTTACGTGTGTGTGCCTGGTATGTGTACGTATTCATACAAGGATATGTTAGTTGTAACTCATTGCATGGGAGACATACTGGAATTCATGAATGACACATGTAAAACATTGCCATATTGTGTGTTTCGGTGCAATTACTCTCGTTACATTTACTAATGTTGGCCGCTAGAGACTGCTAGCAAAATATGGAGTTTTTCATGGATCATGGAAAACTCCATATCTAGCAAAATATGGATGAGTTATTAGTCATGCTCATCATGAATTTCACCATGCCTACAATAGGGGCAGCCAGGTGGCTTGGGACGGGATTAGGCATTTTTAAGAAAAACAACCTACGAAAAATTCCCTGGTTGCTCTACCAGATTCGATTCCGGTTATTCAAAGCAGTAAACTTACTCTTTAATTGTCTGGGCCATCTGACCCGTTTGTATTATAATTTTCTGTGAATTTAAAACTAAAGAAAACTGAATAGTATACACACACTATTATATTTAATATTCTTCAATGTTTGAATTTGAATAAAGTCATCAAAATTCAAGTTTATATTGTTTTAGGTATAGAACATAGTAATAGTACATAAAAAATGAACAATATTCTATCCAGAATTTGAGCAATTATTTGCCAGTTTTCGTTTTTCGTTAGTCGTTGAAGAGGAGCCAATTCGTCTTGATTTTCGTACAAATTCATTTTGTCCATTGNATTCATATATCTCGAAATGTTTTACATAATTAAAAAACTTAAGACATAAACAATCATTCCAACAGTTGTTTCGACTCTTATTATTAAAAAACAATACTTATCGACAACAATGGAGATAATTTCAAGTATTGTAAGTGCTATGCATTTATCTCTACTTTTAAACATTAATAATTCAGTGTGACTTCTACGATCGAAATTATATTTAATTAAGAAAATTTAATTAAGAAAAATTAATCATGGTTCAATTAGAATAAAAGATTATTACAGTCTTCAGTTTAACTAGAACATCTTCGATCTGCCATGTAATAAAAGATTGACGCAGGTTAATGTATCAACCAACCTCGCTTTAGTGTTAGCACCATTTTGATTACGACATTCTCAGCATGAGGTAAGTATGTATTATTTAATGTATCTGTTAGCGCGAAGTTCATAAAGTGAATATTCTGTTGTTTCTTCATATTCATTACAACTTCCTTACTAACACCCTTCATGATAACATTAAAAACTGAATCATTATCTAATTTGTTCATCGCATCCATTCACTTACATATCACGCCGTAAACAACACATAACACCGACATCGCTTTCCAAAATCCAACCCTTAGATCCTCGTCCTGGAAAGTGGAAATGTCACTCGATAATTTTGAATAATGGCTAAATTGGATGTGGTACAATAGATATACTAGTACACACTACAATTTATAGAAGCTTTCCTGTGAAAGTTTCTGGCTACCGATATAAGGGATGTTTGAAAAACAATGCTGAAACTTATACGGATAGTGCTATTTAGTCATGCAAAGAAAATACAGACAAGTGTATGTTCGGAGGTGTTATCCACCGGTTGGTAACTGACAGACATTGAAGATGGGAACCAGAGTCTGAATAAATGAGCGAATGAGTCCGACTGTATTATTTAATACTGGATATTACGATGGCGATACCTCCCTGATTAATTTTACGATAAACTTTTGGATCCGAACCTAATTTAGCACCGAGTACTAGAGATTTAGAATTTAAGACCGACAACTTTTGAAAAAAATGTGAATGTAGCTACCCGCTAAGAAATAAATTAGTAATTATACGACTAAAGAACATAAATAAAGTCAAATACTGTGTTTAACTGTTGTGTCTATCCGACATTGGTACAAAACGTAGGCGAAGATAGCAATTTTTAGTTTTAAAAATGTATTTTCGGTGTGTCTAACGTTTTAAAGGCCTTCATTTTTAATCTCGTGATTTTCCTGTAGGACTACAAATGCAAACAATAAGCTTAATTTAATCTCAAAAAAGAAAAATACAATTTCATTATCAATTTAATATACTTTTACTTTATAACACGGTAGTTGAATAGTATCAAATTCTCCGGTAGTTGACGTTTTGAGATTTCTTAACCCGAAAAAGTAAAAAAAGGAAAAAAGTACATGGACAGGTTCGTTTTTTTTAACTGTGCAAACGTCTTATTGTTTCTTAAAAACAAAAAAATACAGCAACAAGTTGCGAAACATTCCCGGCAACATGACGTCACGAGATGTTATAAAATAATAACTTTTATATTATTAATTAACATAAAATGATAAAAAACTTAATATTAAGGATAGAGATGAATTTTATTCAAAAAATTGTAAATGCTGATAAAAAGTAGGTTAATATCTTTATTAATGGTGCATAATTATTTGTGTACACCTCTACAGGAAACTGGCATTCGCTCGTTGATGAAAAAAATGGCTGCTAGTTGTTTTAAGGATAGATTTTAGCGCTGTTTTGTTCATATTTTCTAATTACATAACTAAGTTACAAGGAAGTGAAACTGTGTCGCAACTTTATTAACCATAAAAAGTCATGGGCATCCTAGTTGGACTCGAATCCGCATGTCAAAACAATTGACAGTAACGTTTCTTTCAGATATTTAGTAATGACATATTATTAACTACATACATAAGCATACAATAAACTTAATAAAACATATTTTGCAATTAAAAGAACATTCCTAATAATCATCTATGTGTAAATTAGAAGAAAACACTTAAAATTTAAATTTATATTGTTTTAGGTATAGAACTAAGCAATAGAACGTAAAAAATGAACAATATTCTATCTACAATTTGAGCAATTATTTGCCAGTTTTCGTTTTTCGTTAGTCGTTGAAGAGGAGCCAATTCGTCTTGATTTTCGTACAAATTCACTTTGTCCATTGGTTTCTCTTCCGTGCGAACTGAATTAATTATTAATAATTTAGCAATGGTTCCTGAAAATATGTTGAGGATAAATTCGGGCGGTTCATAGTCTTGAATGTATCGAAAATTAATGATGATGACCTCGAATACAATAGCCACTAAGACGACGAACATTGTGTTGTGAATAGGTTTAGCTAGAACGATAAACATTAAATTAAAATGTTAGAAGCTAAAATAAATAATTTCGAATCATAAATCACTAAAAATTTTCAAAAGTTTTTATGAAATTGAATTAAACTAAAATTTTTTTGGTAAATTATTCTTCAGATATCAGACATATCTTACTGTGGATCTATTTCTATTTTCAGTGGCAATAAATATACACGCACTGCATTCGTGATTGTGATAAATGGTAAGAAAACTGGACTCCTTTGCAACTTCGTTTAATTAGTAAATAAATTAAACTACTTGAGCTACGGCTTACAAAAAAATTGGCTCAATTTTTGTAACAGGAGTCTCCAATACACACCTGAAATCATTATTCCTCTAAAATAAATTTAGGAGACCATAAATTTATGCACACTCAGCATTCACATGCAATTACCACTTCGTGGATCTTCACTTTGCAGCGTACACGTTGGCATCTCGCCTAGTCACGGAAAACATCTTGTAGAATGTTGGTCCATGTTTCTTGAAGAATCGTTTTCAGTTGATTTCTAATTCCGATTTGCATTACAGCACCTGTTTCTCGAGAACACGCGAAAGATCGTTGATCGGACTGAGATAGAGCGAATTTGAATCATGAGAACTTGGGCAGTATTTTGGGAAAGCCAAGCACTAATGGAGCGCACAGTATGCGGCTTGGCGGGATTTCGCTGAAAAATCGTACCTCTATGCGGCCGAAGATGGGCTATGGACGACAGTAAATGTTGTTCAAGAATTGCCTGATAAGATTGGCAGTCCCATCAGAAAGGAGCCAAACCACCAATGCCAGAATGCTAAAACTTGAACCGTGCTTGGAAAGTTGACTTTTTGCTTCTGTTTTGAGCGAGTCTTTTGTCCTGCCGACTGGATGACTGTACGTCCTAAATTTCTACATAGGGCAAAGATGATTTGTGAGACAAAATAATCTTTTGCTAGTCAAGTTCACAAACCACTTGTTCACAATTCACAAACGTTTATATTAACGATTAAAACTTACATACAGTTATGACGTTACAAAAATAAAACAATTACAATAATTCAGATATAGCAAAGTTCAAACGTCAATTAAACCACCACAACAGGTCCGTCGAAAAGGACTCCTTGCAACGTATTCCTTCAGACGTTAGTTACCGCACAGCGAGACGAAACAACCTTTTTATGCGAAGCTAATCAAACTTGAGTTGCCTGAATATGTCTTTGGCGAACTAAACTTCCCGCCTAATCTCAATCCTTTTATACGGATTGAGACGAATTTAATTCCACCAATCAGCGTTTAGTAGCGCTATCGGACGTCCGCTGGTCGTACGAAGTTTTCTAGCCAATCCGCGGTCGAGTTCCAAAACTACCAACATCGCCTGATCCACGTTTCCGTGACGACCGCCGTTAATCGTTCAAAACCAGGAAAAGCGCGGGAAATCGTACGTCCAGACGATTTATCCCGAAACCGCTATTGAGCTTCTGTCCAAGACAGGTGATCCTTACTCCATGCAAACCTCTTCTTTTGCTGCACTGGCGTCAAAATGGGCTTTCGCTTTCTCTTGTACAAACCGTAACCCATATAATGTAAACCTTTAGCTAGCAGTTCGTCGAGATAAGATTGACCTTTTCGTTCGTTCCACATTTCTGCAGCTTCCACGAACATATCAGGTTATGACAATCCAACAGAAAATTCCAGGGCTGTGGAGTCGGAGTCGGAGTCGTGGAGTTTTGGTGTTTTAGCCGGAGTCGGAGTCGTCAAAAAGTTCGCCGACTCCGACTCCTTTTTAATTACCAACTTCTTATGTATATAAAATGGAAAAGTATTGGAATCGTGTCAAATTTGACCCTCCAAGTTTTATTTTTTTGCAAATCTACACGTTTGGAGACCTCCCGAACCCCTCAAAAAAGACAGTAAAAGAAAAAATTCGCGCGCGTGTGTGTTGGCATCTAATTTGTTTAATTTCTTTATTTTCTTTCTGAGATATTAAACAATATCTCAGAATGGGTAAAGTTTAAGAAACGAAATGTGGCACTGTAGCTTGCGTATAAAGGGGCATTAATACTATTAAATTTTTGTTCTTAATTAAAGGTCGACAGGGTGAAGACCTAAAAGTGGTCATGTGTCATACCTCTTAATGAATATTTTACTCGTTATTAGCATTTAAAATTAGAAAAAAATAAAATAAAACTCGTCTCTAACTTCAAAGTAAGCTTTTTAACCATTTTATAATAGTACAGTAAAACCCATTAAGATGTTCTGGCCTAAAATGTTAGAATGTATACGGGGACACGATTTAGTTCAACAACTTTAACGCTAAATAACTAACTCCTGTATTAAACCATCTGACTCCGATTCTGACCACTCTGACCACAGAAATTATTGGGCTTCAAACGGGGTGAACAAAATCATGCCCCCC